GACCTCAAGGTAACGCCTGGCAGAGAGAGTGTTTGAGCTCAGTCTGCAAGGTTGGCCAAGATTCCGATGACCAGTGGGGCACACTCCTGGTGGCAGGTTTGAGGAAGGGTCTGCAGGTGAGGTGTCCCCAGGAGGCGGCAATAAGAGCTGGTGTTTTGGCTGCCCCACCAAACCCTGAGCTCCTCCCCACCCGTGGAGGAGTCCCCGGCTGGCGCAGGGGCAGGACTGGGTCGGAGGATGCTGCTCTCTTCCTGCCTCTCCGAGCCTCTGCGAGGTCAGGTTTTCAGGCCCTGCTGCTCAGGGCATCGTCTCCGGGCCCCCTCCTCCTCAGGTAACGGAGCAAGCCTCCGCTTTGATGCGGCCACCTCAAGGCCGAGGTGTCAATGGGCCCTCTATATGACCAGCCGGGCCGCTGGGGGCCGCCGGCCGGCCGTAGTGGGTGCGGTGAGGCCTGGACACACAGCCCCACTGTGTGGGGCCGGCTCATGCCTGCCCAGACCCTGTGGGCAGTGGGGGGCTCCCGGGAATGCCCTTCCAGCCTGGGGGGCACTTTGGGCAGGCAGGGTGGTCCGGGGAGACGGGTGTGTACAGGGCGGCCTCAGAAGCCGCCGTCAAAGGGGCCGGCAGATGTGGCGCCAGGCAAGCGCCACAGCGGGCGCGGAATGGCTGGCGGTCAGTCCGCTCATCTCCCAGGGTTGGCGGGGGAGGGGGAGCCTCCATGGACATACTTTCCGGGTGACCCACCATCCTCGGTTGCCTGGGCTTGAGGGGTTTCCTGGGACTTGGGACTTTCAGTGTTGAAACAGAGTCCCCTGTTGTCGGCCACTGCCCAGAGCTCAGCAACGGGCACACGGACGGACCTGTCTGGTCGGGGCGGCTTCCTCCCTGTCCAGTGACCTCTGAGTCAGACCATCCCGGCCAGACCTGTCCAGGGCCATGTGTCCACCCCCTGCCTCCACACAGGCCTGCCTCATGCCTGAGAGTCCCTTTTCCGTTTCTCCTGGGCATCCTCAGGGGAGGAGCTGGCGGCCAAGTCCAACCACTGCTGGGAGCACCTTGTCCCTGCAGCCGAGGCCCTGCACAGGCTGGTCCTGTGGCCAAGCCATCTCCCAGCACCCCCGCCACGCCCCTAGCCATCCCTGGCACCCAGAATCAACGCGTTCTCTCCTCCACACCCTCTGCCAAGACGTCTTTTCTCCTCCTTTGCCACCTCCTTGCCCTTGAAGACCTAGCTGCCCAAGGCCACCTGCAAGAGAGGGATGCCCAGGGGCCAGAGAAGGGCCTCATGGGGCGGATTCCGGATGAAGGTCCCCAGTGGGGCCGTTGGGGGGCACTCTGGGATCCTCAGGCCATTGCCCAAAATTGTCAGATGGGGAAACCGAGGCCCAGAGAGAGGAAGGGACTGGCCCTTAGTCACACAGAATGTCCAAGTCACAGCTGTCAGGTCTCAGCTTCCCCACTGTCAAGCAGGGGGAATAAATACTGCTTGTCCCACCTGGGAGGCACCCCCAGAGGCCCCTATGCCCTCTCCTGCCTCCCATCTCAGTGCCTGGAATCCCACCGCCAGCGTGTCAGCTCTTTGGGTTAAGGACTGCCCTGTTCTTGTCTCACGATCAACCCTCTGCTGCAGGGTGGAGTCGATGACTCTCCACCTCTTCCCAAACCTCTTCTCTCCGCCGTGAACCCAGGAGAGTTCTGCTCCCGTGGCTCAGAAGGAGTGCCCCTGCTCTTTTAAGTCAGAGGAACCAACAGGAGCAGGCTGGGCAGCAGCTTTGGAATGTCAGCAGCCAGACTTGTCTGGGGGTCCTGGACTCTCTCGCTGCCTCGAGAGGCCCCAGGGAAGGCCCAATGTTACCAGTGGAGGGCGGATGCCCGGAGGCAGGGGCATGGATGAGATGCTTCACTCTCAGCCCATCTTTGTCAGTGAAAACAAAAGAGAAGCCGTCTCCCTCTGGTCTATGGGGACACTGAGGTAGCAGGAGCTTGGTGATAGTGCTGGGGACACACAGGGGGAGACAGAGAAGCCCACACAGGAAACGGGGCCGTCTCAAGGAGCATCGATTGAGTCCAACTCCCTCGTACCCTTTTACTGATGAGAGAATGGCGACCCAGAGATGTCGAGTGACCCAGAGGGAGTCACACAGCACACAGGTGGCAGAGCCAGGGAAAAGACTGGGCTCTCCCTGGCCAGCAGTTCCTAAGCCTGCCCGAGATGCACATCAGAGTAACTTTGGGGGGATTTTCAAAACCACACATGCCCAGGCCAAAACCCAGGAGATTCTGATTCCACAGTCTGAGCTGGAAATCGGGTCCCCCGTGTTTAAAAGCTCTCCAGGGCAGCGATGCCTTGCTCAGGGCCTGGGCTGGGACAGTGTTGGGAGGAAGCAGAAAGGAGGAAGAGGAGGCAGTGGAGGGCAAAGGGAGCCCCTTACCCCTCTGCTGAAAGCCTCTGAGAGATAACACGCTGGAGACCTGGAGTTTTTGACTTGCGTAGACTTCAGGGGGTCTGTGAACCTGGGCTGGAAATAACGTCTCTCCTTTCGCCGACTTCTAACTGAAGTTTAGCATCTTTTTCCACAGCAATTTTGTCAGCGATGCAAATCACAGATTTCTTTGATCTAGTTAGGGTTGTCACAGATTATCCTGAAATACTGTTCATGCTCATCACTGCTGTTGACAGGGGCCACACCTGAGTTCTCGAAGAGGCACAGGGTCACCATCTAACAAACTTGCCCTTTTAGTTTGGTGACTATATTTCCATAGATTTGGTTTCCTTCATAATCCCTGAATTTTGTTTTTTGCATTTAAACATGCAATCCTGAGAGGGCATCTGCAGGCTTCCTGAGGCTGCAGAGGGTTGGTGGCTCAGAACAGGTGAAGGATCGTGTGAGGCAGTGTGGCATCAGAGCCCTGCGCAGGACCCTGAGGTTGGGTCTCTTTGGGGACAGAGTTGGCAGCTGGAGCCCTGTGAGCCTCGGGGACAGAATTTGGGAGACAGGCCCCTGAGGCAAGCATGGGGGAGCTGGGCAGGAGAGGAAGGGCCGAACAGTGTGGACAGAACTTCGTGGAATCACAGGGAAAGCCTGGGACGCTAGACCCCAGACCCCACAGCCTCCCCCGGGGCCCCAGCCTACAAGGCCCTTTCTGCGCCTGCCCCTGTCGACCAGGGAGCGCCTGCTCTGCCCAGCGGCCTCCTGTTCCTGGGCACACATTAGGCCAAAGCCACCAGCTCTCCTCTCTCCCTCTCCCTTGGTGCCACCGTGGGCCACCTCCCGGGCTCCCAGGAGTCAGAGCCCGTCCCAGGCAGGCTGACACTTAGCCCTGTCTTCCAAGGTTTCTTTGTTTTAAACCCTACATTTCTCCATCTTGCTCATGGAGGGAGAAATACAGATTACAAAGACCCAGCAAATGGTTTTTATAAACTCTTATTTTCTTGCCACAGAACTGCCTTTAATTAGCTCTGAGGACTACAAAGGGAGCAACGTTGTAATGGCAGCAGCTTGAAGGAAGGAGCCCTGCGCTCCCAGCTCCCGGACCTGGGGCTGCCGCTTGCCCCCGGCCACAGTGGGGCTTGGCGGCAGTGCCCCCACTGTGGGGGACGGCAGGTCCCTTCTCTCCCCCACCCAGTTCCCATCTGCAGTCGCACAGCCGGCCTTGGCCTCAGCAGGGAAGAGGAACAGGCCCCGATCTCAGACAAGCCTTTGCAGAAGCCTGTGGACAACCAGCACCCAAGTGTGCCCCGGTCCCTGCCCAGAGGCGGCCGCCAAGCACTGGCTCTGAATCGCCGTGTTAGCCAGCAGCAGACGGGAAGACAGACAGCCAGACCGACTCCTGCGTCTCTGCCGACCCCCTTGGCTGAGAAAGGGCAGCATCACCCCGCAAACTTGGAGTTCTAGACCCCACGCAGCCCCTCTGCTCTGGAGCAGGACTGGTCCCTGTGCACAACCCAGAGCCTCATACACAGCCCACCTCCAGCCCCGGACAATCAGAACACCACAGCCAGAGGAACAGAGAGAGGTTAAGTAACTTGCCTAAGGTTTCTCAGCAAGAAAGCCGCTAGGCAGCGGGACCCACGCTCAGGAACCTTGAGCCCCAATCTCAGGTGCCACAGCCCCATCTCGGGGCTCCTGCTGGGGAGGAGGAAGGCAGCAGGGGGTGTCTGAGGCCAGGCACATCTGCCCCACGGGCCAGGCAGAGGCAGGAACAGTCTCCCTGTGAGTTCCAGCCTCCATTAGATCCCAGTTGGGATCCCAGACCCCATCCTCGCCAAAGGCCACAACCCAGAGCCCTGGGTCCCTCCAGGCCACAATTAGAGACAAAAGCTGCCCAGAAACACTTTCTTCTCCCCCGTGGCCAAGTCCACAAACCTTCCCGAGGCCTGTCCTCCCCACGCGGGGGTCCAGCTTCAGTCCAGCTCAGCACCACACAAGTTCTCCACAAAAGCCTGAAACTTCCTCCCTCCCTCTTCCCTCACCCCAGGGATTACACGGAAAACGCGGGCCACGGTCCTCGGAAGGTCTCTGGATCTTAAGGCGCAGCCTCGTCCCCTGCCTGCCTCCCACGGCTCTCCCCAGAAGCTGGCCAGCCCGTGTCTGGCCGAGCCCAGGTGGCGGGTTCCAGCTCTGGCAGGCCAGGGGCCAGGGCCGCAGGGCCCCGGAGCCCCGTTAGGGAGGCAGGACGCTGAGGTCGTGGAGACTCCCCTGCCTTGTCCTCCCAGCCCAGGACCGTCTGAGGTCTGGCCTTTGAGGTCCTGGGGTCTTGCAGTATCCATCACCCCTGCCGCTGACTGTCCCCACCAGCTGAGGATAAAAGTCCCACCGCGATGGCCCACGCCACCAACCCCTCTGCCCACCGCAGGCGTTGAGAGGCCGGCAGGTTTAAACAGACAGGCTGAGCACTTGAGGGCAGCCAGGGCGGTCGGTGGCGGGACGTGGTCCGGGGCCTGGCCACAGCTCCCCACCCGCGAGGCCGGCCCCGGGCCCTGGGCAGCTGTTACTCACCGCGGATGAAGGTCGGCGAGTAGGTCGGGAAGGAATCGAAGATGCTGTTGGATGCCATGCCCCGCGCTGCAGAAGGCGAGAATGCGGCCCTTCGGGGGCTTGGGATGGGATTGACTTGGTTGGCTGCTGTTTTATTATTTTTTTTTCTCTAGCTACTTTTGAGAATAAAAGGGGGGGCGGTGTTGCTTTTTGTGTTTTTTTGCTTTGTTTTGTTTTGTCTCTTTTTTCCCCCCTGCTGCTACGAAAAAGAAAAAAGGAAAGAACGCGAGAGAGTGTGTGTGAGCGAGAGAGAAAAAAAATCCCCAAGGAAAGTAAGTTTCTGTTTGTACCCAAGAATTTGGATTCCCGGTCCCACAGGAATGTCTAGCCACAAATTTTCAACAGAAGCGTATGCAGAGTGTATCATTAGATGGCGGGAAGGGGCTTTCAGCAGCCAGGGTGGAGGAGCTCGGGCCGAGAGAGCAGAGCGAGGCCCCCACCGGCGCCACGGAGAATGAATGAATGAGGCTTACCCTCGACTGAGCCCAGGCTCCGGTGGGTGCGAGGGCGGCCGGGGGTGGGAGGACCAGGAGCCAACCAGCTCCCACGCAGGGCCCTGGAGGCAGCCGAGGGCCTGGCCTTGTGGTTCTGTGGTTGAGGGACCAGGCCTTCACAGTGTCAACCCAACCTCAGCTCACAGGATGCGAGCAGCCCACTCGCGGCCTTGGCCCATTGGCTGGGCCTCGGTCACCTGGGCCGTGATGTCACGGCCTCTTAGAAGATCTTGTGGTTGCCTCTCTCTTTTTTAGAAAAAAAAAAAAAGAGAGAAAGAGAGAGAGAGAGAAAAGTGATGGCTTTTATTTGCGAAGCTGGCCTCAGCACGCGGCCCAAGAAGCAGAACAGAAAGCAGTTGGAGTGGGCGCGGTGGGGCGGTGGTTTGGCTCCTGGGTGGGAGACTCCTTCTTAATTAAGGCCAGCGTTGGCCTGGGCGGGCTGGGAGCCCCGATCCTGCAGTGGGCGGAGGGCTTCCCTCCATGCCGCCTGGCCCCTGGCTGCGGCTGACACCCTGCCATTGTCCACCACCATCGTTGCTGGGGAGAGGCGTCCACATGTGTGGCTGGGTGGCACTTCGGGGGATTTTATGGGAGTTGGGACCAAGTACAAATGGGAAACACATGAAGCGGCATCACTAGTGCTCAGGCCCGGCCGCGGCCGACCCACCAAGAAAGGCCTTCCATGTGGAACCTGGTGGCATGACCGTGCCAAGAGGCCCTCTGCAGAGCTTGGGGTCTGCGGCCCGAGCTTGTCCCTCAGGGCCTCAGGGCTAGTCTTGCCCACCTGTGCATGCCCTCGGGTTCTCTGCCCAGCCTGCAGCTCCTGAGCATTCCTGCCCCTGGGCCTTTGCCCACCGGACGTGCCTCTTGCCAGCTCCTTTGCATCCTTCACGTCCCAGAGGATTCAAGGCTCTGCGGGACTCAGAAGTAGAAAAGACACGGAAGACAATTCAACCCTACATGTCTGTGTTTCCAGAAGCCAGGTCAGGCTTGGGGCTGGGGTGGGAGGGCGGTGGCTTTTACCATTTCCCTTGTAAGCTCTACTCTCCCATTCCACAGGCCAGACCACTGAGGCCCAGGGGGAGAAAGCCAGCTTGTCTAAGGCCACACTGTATTCTGCAATGGGATTAGAACTTCAGCCTCTGACTTACCAGCCCCAGCCTCAGCCAGGACACCATCTTGCCCTTTAAGCTAAATCCCAAGACTTCAGAAACTCCCTCTGCAGCCTGAGCACCACACCTTGGCCTCTCAGAGAGCTCAGGCTTGGGGCCAGACCCCAGCACCACCTCAGACTCACAGTGGCCCCTGTAGGCCAACATGGGGGCAGAGGGCAGTGAGGAGCACTGGGGAGAAGGGGGTTGTTCCAGGCACGCTGGATCATCTGTGAGCAAGACGCCCTTGGACATGCATGGTCCGTGCCTCATCTGGAGCCTCATGAAGGTTTGTCTCCCACCCCTGAATGGTGAGTTGATGGGTGCTGGGGGCAGGGGGCGGCAGGTGGACAGGAGTTCTAATTTGGCCGGCGAGGACGCAGATTTACGGTGAAAGCCGCAGGAGTCTGGGGTCAGATTTGGTTTGCAATCCCAGTTCTGCTGAATCAAAGCCATGAGACCTTGGGGCGACTCACTTCCCTTCTCTGGTCCTCAGTTTCCTTCCTTGTAAAATGGGGATAACACCTTCCTTGGAGGGACGGGCACTGGGTGAGGGCACCATAAACGTTGGTTTCCTTGGCGGAGTCTCTGTGACGCAGTTTGGGCTCCGTTATGAGTAAGCGCAGGTAAGGAACCATCCCAGTCACGCAGGGAACACAGACTGCCCCACCCCCACCCCCAGGCATGACCTCATCAGCAGGCCCGGCCTGGGTCGGGACGTGGGGGTCGGTACACAGGTGGAGCCTGCCAAGGGGCCTTGGCCTCCCGGTGAAACTCAGTACATTTTGGAGTCAGCCATGTTGTGAAACAGATCAGAGAATGACACAACTGGAAAGGTGCCCCTTTCGCAGAAGCAGAAACTGAGGCCCCCAGAGGAGCAGAGACTCATCCAAGCTCACCCGTGAGTCAGTGGAACCCAAGCCCCTGCTTCCCAGCCCGGGAGTTGTTTCCACTCTACCAACACCGCCTCCACTTTCTAATGCGCCATACCACCCTGCGTGCTTTGCTGTTTTTTCCACACCTAAGAGTGGGCCCCCCAAGCCCCAGTAAGTTGGTCACCCTGAGGGGTTCCCCCTCCCTGGGAAGCCAAGTCCAGGCCCAGGAACGAGAGGGAACTTGAAAGGTTGTGTTGGGCTCAGCGATGCCTCTGTGCAGCGGGTAGCTCAATGCATTCTCAGGGCAATGTAGCAGTAAGTGCCAGGCTTGGTCCTTACCCTTAAGGGTCTTGTAATCTTCACTTGCCACCTTATAGGCATGTGCTAGACTTTAAACAACCCCCTGGAAGCTGCCTGGGGAAGCAGAAAGAATATGGAGGCTGGAACCAGCCATACCTGAAGCCTGTTTTGGTTCTTAGGAACTATGAGATTGTGGGCAAGAGGCTTTACTCTTCTGAGCCTTGGTTCCCTTGCCTGTGAAATGGGGTCAGTTGTAGCACCCACCTCCCAAATTGTAAATAGAATTAAATGAGAAAATAATCATGAGTGTGCCTGGTACATTGTAGGTGCTCAATTCCCCGGGACTCCCTTTCCTTTCACATCTGACTGTACATTCTCTTGGCATATTGTGGGCAGTTTTCCTCTTATTTTCCATTGGGAAAAAAAAATACAATCAGGTTAATAAAAACATTTGGTTGAAGAAGGGACTCATAAAAAAATAGTATCTATAAAAAAGAGACACATAAAAAATACTATCTTAAACCCTTTATTTTTATCTTAACTTTTAACTTGCAAATGTGCATTAAATAGCCTTTCTGTTGTTTTTCTGGCTTAAGCCAATCCAGAGGGCCCCTCCCACAATTTCCAGTTTTGGTTTCTTTGGTTTCTAAAGTGGAACATGAATGTAAAGATGCTTATGAAGCAATCAGCATGTAACATCATCTAGATTTTACTATTTCTCCCAATTTTTCACAATGTCTCACCCATACCTGATTCGATTTATTTTTTAGCAATTTTATTAGCAATTTATTTTTTAGACTTTGCATTCACTAAGTCTTTTCAAAGTATTCAACCTAGTTTTCACAAAACCAGAGACTCCTGTTTGGCATCATGTCATCGATACAGTGTGGCCATTAGTCAGAGTCTGACCAGGAAAGGAGGAGCCACTTTGAGTGTTGGAAACCAGGGAAGTGGGTTTGGGGATTAGTAGCAACACAGGTGCTGAAGAGCTGAGAAGTCAAACAAAGACGGGTGGGACCCTGAGATAAGCCTCAGCCTGGAAGCCACTGCCATCCTCTGGGGAAGAGGGACACAGGGAGAGGTGGCATTCCCAGGATCCCCAGCCGAAGCAGGAACATGGGGACCAGACTAGCCCTTGCCGATGCCACAGAGGAGACTTGGCCCCCAGGGAGAGGCCTCCTGAGACAAAGAATATGCGGGAGAAATGCCCTGGCTTGTCCCTTTCTCCCATTTTTGCTTCTGCTCTCAGGGCCTGCCATTGGTTGAATGCAGCTGGGACCAGCTGACCAGGGGGCTTGGGAGATGCAGCCGGTGGAATCGGACCCCTGCAACACAGAGCCAGACAGGGGAAGGGGCAGGATGGATCTGGGGGCAAACTGGCCCAGGACTGGCACAATACCCAGTGAAGCTCTGTAACCATGCAAGCCCAGCCGGCACAAACAGGGCTGGAAACTTCCCAACTCACATTTGGTGAGCTGGCAGCTCCGTGGCTGGTGGGAGCTGTAGCATCCCAGAGAGGGATCTGCTGGCCAAGGGCATCGGTTGGTGTATTACACGAGAATACAGGTGCATTCCACGAGCCGGTTACCCCAGGGTCAGTTAGGAAAGTACCTCCTGTGAATGGTGATGGAATCCGTTTCCTTAACCTGTGTTCAGGGCGGATGGTTTAACCACAGCCTCAGTTTACTGTGTTTGGGGAATTATGTCACCAATCCTGAGTGTTGGGAGCAGGTCCTATCCATGAACGTTACAGTTTACAAACTCAGCACACCCCTGAGCCACCGGCCCCTGCTACAACCTGCAGGATAGGTGAGGCCCTCCTCACTTCGCAGAGGAGGAAAAGACTAACCCAGGGATCCAGCCCAAGTTTTAGCCTTCGGGAGTCAGTGCAGCCAGCTTGGACCAGACGGGTAGCTGATTGGAGGTGGGCACTGGTCTCGGAGTTTAGATTCTGCCCTTCCACCAGCAGATCGTGCAGCAGGGCGCAAGGAAGGTGCTAGAGCGATATTTGGTATCTGCTGCGGGCTGGCCAGTGTGGAGACACCAGGAGGCCTCCGCCGCGGCCAGACGGGCCCCTCCTCTGTGGTGGAGAATGAGGCCTGCGGGCCGTGCACCCACCCAGGGACCGTCCGCTGAGGACCTACCACGCGCACCACGGATGCCGAGAGCGGCAGTCTCTGCGGTGCCGGGTGGGCTCTCGGGACAGAGCGCCACGCACACGGAGCGGTCCTACCGCCAGTCTCCAGGGCAGCGCCAGAGAGGTGAAGAGACCTGCCCGAGGTCGCCCAGTTTGCCGGTGGAGGAAGCAGGGTTCAAACCCAGCCCGCCTCCCACCTGCTTTCGGGGCTCCTTCTCTCCTCCCCACCCTCAGCTTCTCTCTTTCCTGTTTGTTTTGAAAAACTGCTCATGGTGCCCCCTTCAGAACCAAACCCCTCCCCTCCCCTGTACCACCTTCCTGCCTCAGCCCCTTCTCCAGGCCGCCCCGCGGCCGGACCCCTCCCTGCCACCCCGGGGTCTCTCACACCACAGGATCGGTGGCGTTGAGGACGATCTCACGAATATCTTCCCCCACAGCATGTGCCTCGCCAGGGACCCCAGAGTTCCACCGGCTGCCTTTCCTCCTGCCTGAGATCCCACCGT